TATGTAATTACAAGGAAGCAAGCAAGAAAAAAAAAAAATCCCAATTTTTTACTAACAAAACCGCCCAAGTAATTATGAGTACAATTTTATGTTTATGAATGAAAAGATCGAGAATTTTGAAGGGAAAAACATTTCACTTACTTCTGGTTCAAGGTGTTTCCTATCATCAGACTGCATATATTCACCTGTAAAAAAACATTCTAGGCTCGCTGGCTGCCTGATGAAAACAGTCACCCGGCCAAATCAAGCGCGCAGGCCTCCGACCTTTACTGTAGTACAGTACATTACTAGAATATCAGCAAAGGAGTACATAACTCTGCCTTGAGAGAAATAGTTTAAAGCTCTAAAAGTTTACAAGTGAGGAGTGGGGACGCCTGGGTGGCTCAGGTCTTGATCCCAGTGTCCTGGAATCGAGACTGCATCGAGCTCCTTGCTAAGCCGGAAGCCTGCTTCTCCCTCTGCCTACCACTCCCCTTGCATGTGCGCGCGCTCGCGCTCGCTTTCTCACAAATAAATAAATAAAATCTTAAATAAAAATGCAAGTGAGGAGTAGTAGCAGTGGTTTGCCAGATTAAAGTGAGATACAGCACTGGAGGTGAGGGAGGGGGAACATGACACCATACAAAGGCGTGGAGGCAAGAAATGATGTGAAAATGATCAGGGAGAGGTCAAGAGCCGGAGAAACTGGGACTAGACTAATAACAGATACTACGATATAACGCAGAATATCAAATATATGCTATAAATAACGTACAGAGTACTAAGAGCTCCAAACAGCTTTTTAATTCTAACCGGCGGCTCCCAGAAAGATTCAAAGTGTGCATTTCTTTTTCTTTTTCTTTTTTTTAAAGATTATTTATTTATTTATTTGAGAGAGAGAGAGCATGAAAGGGGGGAGGGTCGGAGGGAGAAGCAGACTCCCTGCCGAGCAGGGAGCCCGATGCGGGACTCGATCCAGGGACTCCAGGATCATGACCTGAGCCGAAGGCAGTCGCTTAATCAACTGAGCCACCCAGGCGCCCCTCAAAGTGTGCATTTCAACTGGGCCTTGACGTCTAATATTAAAACAGACTGACCTCTTTTTTTTTTTTTTTTAAGATTTTTTATTTATTTGACAGAAGAGAGACACAGCGAGGGAGGGAACACAAGCAGGGGGAGTGGGAGAGGGAGAAGCAGGCTTCCCGCTGAGCAGGGAGCCCGATGCGGGGCTCGATCGCAGGACCCTGGGATCATGACCTGAGCCGAAGGCAGACGCTTAACGACTGAGCCACCCAGGCACCCCAGACTGACCTCTTAAGATGGGCACAAGCGCGGGGGATAGGCAGCATTCGAAATCGAGAGCACATCATAAGCAAAGACAGAAATGGAAATGTGCCCAATGCCTTGGAGAGATGCGGGTTAATAATGGTGCACAGGAGGAGAGGATGTGATCGTAGAAGAGGCAAATCTACGTCGAAGTTAAATCGCGGGGATCCTGAGAGGCTGGTTAAGGAATTTTAGCCGTTCCGTGAAGACTGGGAAGCCCCAGAGGAGCATGCCGGACACCAAGGAAGGCCCGACTTGAGCCTGAACTACCCCCACTGGGAGCCGCCTTCACCTACGTACCGCCTCACCTGCCCCGCGGGACACTCTGCGTCCAAGGAGAATTTCTTGGATTCCGTCTCTTCCCCGGACTCTTGGCGCTCACTTGGGGAAGATCACGCGGACCTTCCACGGAGCCACCAGCACGCAAGACACGAACAGTCAGGCCAGTCGCACAGAAGTGACGTAATGACGTAAGTTCACGCGCCTTACGCAGCCCGAGAGTCGCAGGGGAGGGTCAGGAGGGCGGGGCGATGGGAGAGGAGGAGACGTGATCCGAGGGCTAGACGGGTGTTGCCCTAGTGACCCAGAAGGGTCTACTGAAGTGACCCAGTCTCTGTAGTACTCAGGCGATAAAGACCGAGCAGCGGCGGTTAAAAAAACCTGGAAGGCTTCTAGGCTGCAGTGACGCGGAACGTTTTTTTGGCCAGAAACCGAAAGAAGAAATCGGAAGTGACGTCGCGGTCAAAACAAGCCGGGGTTTGGGGGCCTGCAGTGAATCTGTGGCCGCAGATGGAAAGGCCCGACTCGCTGTCGGCTGTCGAAGGTAGTCGCGAGGCCCTGCGCTCGCATCCAGTCGGCCTCGGCCCCTGTCCCCCTGACCCTCCCGCCGTGGGTGAACCAGAGTTTCCGCCCGCGGTATCTGAGCTGTGCTGGGACTTTTCCGGCAGAGCTGGCGGGTGGCGACCGAGCGGACTTCCCTTCCTACAAGTGTCCCCTCCAGCGGGCTTCTGTCCTGGGACGCTGGGACACCTGTCGCCTGTGAGGCATCATTCATTTTCATAGCACCTTCCTTTCCTTGTAGGACAATTTCAGAATTAGGAAGAACCAGGGGGCTCCTGTTACTAGGATTCACTGCGGAGTAGCACAGTTGCCCAGTGTGTCTCTGTCTTCATCCCTGGGCTCTGACCGATCGAGGTGATCCTAGCTATCCTTGGCCATACCCCTTTTTCTTACCGCCTCCTACTCTCGATCATGTTTCCCCTCTTCTCCTAGTCTTCAGAATCTTAGCTTAACCAGTCAACTTGGCTCATCTCTTCTAGAGTAGTGGCAAGACAGCGTTCTGTTTTCACTCCCTCTTCTCCCAGGTTCTCCTCTCAAAGACCTGTAATTCCGTCTATAAACTCTGATTTATGACATGGAAGATGTTTAGAGCTAGAAAGAGTATTAGAGATGTCTATTTCAACCATCTACATTGTATAGATTAATAAAAATGAGTCTCAGAAAACGTATGTGATTTTTCTGTCCAGGGTTGCACAGCTAGTTAGTAGTGATGTTGAAAATGTAAAGGCAAATCTAATTAGCAAGCCTTTGTTGGGCATCTTGCAGGATCATTTCAGTATAGAAAAGAATTTAAAACAATGTTAAAGTTCAGATCAGAAAACATTTCTGGAACACCTGATAGGATCAGGTTCTGCTTTGTGTGCAAAGATAGTAAGAGTGGTCTCCATCCTAGAGAAGTTTTCAATGTCTTTGGAGTTTAAGTGGAAACTTTCAAGAGAATGATAAATACTAGAAATGGAAATAAATGCAGTGTGCTAAGAGAGCTCAGGGGATTGCATTTAGGCCAGCTCTGGATAGGAGTCTGTGGGAGATGGTTCTTCCCTCAGGAAACACAGTTCTTATCTTCCAATACATTTTTTAAAATTTTATTTTATTAAGTTATGTTAATCACCATACATTACATCATTAGTTTTTGATGTAGTGTTCCATGATTCATTGTTTACCTAGAACACCCAGTGCTCCATTCAATACGTGCCCTCCTTAATACCCATCACCAGGCTAACCCATCCCCCTACGCCCCTCTCTAGAACCCTCAGTTTCTTTCTCAGAGTCCATAGTCTCTCATGATTCGTCTCCCCCTCCTATTTCCCACCCTCCATTTTTCCCTTCTTCCAATACATTTTTAAGGCCCTCTGCATTGAGCTTCCGTCTCCATTTGAATCACAACTCATTTTCTGTTCTGGTTTCCTTCTTTCCTTTTGCTAAAGTATATTGACTTTGTTACCTGTTACTTTCTTTTTATTATTATTATTACGATTTGTTATTTCTTCACCTCTTGTCCCTTGGAAGTTTGGATTAGTTTAGTGCTGCTTATTTTAGTGGTCAAGGTGATCTATCCAAATAGCTGGATAGGTCCTTCATAATGTATAAGCTCCCTTTTTCTTTTCGCTGCATAGGAAATAACAGGTAACTACCCTCACTACTCAAAGGATTGTTATAAGGACCAGTCTTGGAAAATGTTTTAAAACTGAAAATAGTAGTTATCTGTAAATGTATGGTTTTCCAGCCCCTGTTCCACTGTGATCATAATGCATTTTTCTTTTTAAATTCCAATGTTAAAACACCCTGCATCCTCTCAAAATTTCTAAGAGGCAGTAAACCCTAACATGAAAAGATTAACTAGATGTTTTAATTTTCTTCCCCCTGTCTCAGGGATTATATGCATCGGGCATTTATAATCTTGGAGTTCTTCATTTTTTTAGAAACAATTTTAGATACAATAATGGAATTCTCTTGAAATTATATTAAGGTTCATAGGGAAGTGCCAGTGATTACTAAAAACTCAATTTAAAACAATAGTAAATGATTCCATAACAGGTGTGCTTATAATCTATGCTTTGAGAGTTTGCATTTATTGAATTCATGTCTTGATTATCTATATTTGAAAAAAATCAGTTCTTATTTATATTTAATTCTTATTTCTTTTTTTTTTTTTAAGATTTTATTTATTCATTTGAGACAGAGAGAATGAGAGAGAGAGAGAGCACATGAGAGGGGGGAGGGTCAGAGGCAGAAGCAGGCTCCCTGCCGAGCAGGGAGCCCGATGCGGGACTCGATCCCGGGACTCCAGGATCATGACCTGAGCCGAAGGCAGTCGCTTAACCAACTGAGCCACCCAGGCGCCCTAATTCTTATTTCTTAATACTTATTACAAAAATTGAGATCTAGAAATTATAGTTGGATCCTGATGCCCTAGAGATGATAAGGCAGAGGAAGCCAGTCTATAATCTATAGTTTGTGTAGTAACAGTTTTCATAAAAACCTATATTAAGTTACTAACATTTGAGCCGAACAAAAACTGATAAATAAGTATATCTTCAGTTCATCATAACCAAAACTTTGTAAAGCCTTTGACTATCCAAGAATCACAGGTGTTGTAGATGCTAATAGACATGGGTACAACATGAGTCCTATCTTAAATTCAAACTGAGAGCCACTTACAAACATAGCATGTTAAAAGATGAACTACAGGTAAGAGTTTAAAGTTTTCACATGAAAGGGTTTTTTTTTAATGTTTTAGCCATTTTAATTTATGAAATGCAGTCTTGGCACTTTAACATTAGAAGGTGGTTTAAAGAATCTAGCAGTCAATGAAAGGATCATTCACTTGAACTATTAAAACAACAAATGTCAAATTTTTGAGAAAAAGATGATATTAGGAATTTTTTTTACCATGTTTTGTCCCAATAGGAATTAGCTTCTTTCCATCTTGATGAAGTGCCTCCAAGTCCTCTGTGGGCTTCTGCTGTAGCAGGAATTTTGGGTAGTTCTGGAGGCTGGGAAGTCTAAGATCAAGGTGCCAGCATGGTTGTTTTCTGGTGAGGGCTCTCTTCCTGATTCACAGCTGCCATCTTCTTGGTCTATTCTAACTTGGTGAAAGAGCATGAAAGTTTATTTTCATTGTTACCTTGATCTTCTGTTCATTTGGCAATGTCCAGGAATAGGAAAGGGGAGAAAAGAGTAAAATTTGTTGAAACCTAGTGATGAAGGTGAGAATGTTACTATATTTCATTTGTTCTTTACCAAGATCCTGTGAGGTTAATGATGACACCTCCATTTTACAGGTGAGATTGAGGCTTAGAGAGGTTGAGTAATGTACAGGTTCACACAGCTAATAAGTGGCGAAGCTTGGATTCATACCCAGGTATCTGCCTCTGAACATTGTATGCCTACTATTGTGTGTAGGTGCTTACAAGAGCACTTTTTGCTTATTTTGTGTACTTTAGCTATGTTGATACGATATTTTTAACTTTTGTTTTCCAGATTTTTCAATATCTGAATTCCAGGAGCACAGTGGATACCACTCCTATAAAACAAAGAGGAAATCATGAAGGAATGTTTTAATTATTGAAACTACAGTTGAAATCATGGCTACATCAGCAAATCTGGATATTGGAGCTCAGCTGATAGTGGAAGAGTGTCCCAACAGTTACAGTCTAACTGGCATGCCAGACATTAAAATAGAACATCAGCTGGACTCGAATGCAGAAGAAGGATCAGCTCAGGGTGTTGCCATGGGAATGAAATTCATATTACCTAACCGATTTGATATGAACGTGTGTTCTCGATTTGTGAAGTCCTTAAATGAAGAGGATAGTAAAAATATTCAAGATCAGGTTAACTCTGACCTGGAAGTGGCATCTGTCCTATTTAAAGGTTGAAAGTTATGGTATAAATATCTGCATTTGTTTTCATTTATTTCATTTTGTTTGTTTGTTTGTTTTCCTTTCTGATCATGAGATTTTGAATTTGGAAGTCATATTTTAATATGATTTGGAAGAGAGAGTTTGGAAGTCATATTTTAATATGATTTTCTAGAATCTCACCAAAACCAAAATTAAATAATTTCATGTTATTTGATATCTATAAGTATCTGTTGATTTTTTTAAAAATTTTCTTGCTTGACCTTTGTTTATTTACAAATTAAAGTTTCTTATTGTACCCTTTATTTATTTATTTTAAAGATCTTGGTTATTTGACAGAGAGAGACACAGTGAGAGAGGGAACATAAGCAGGGGAAGTGGGAGAGGGAGAAGCAGGCCTCCTGCTGAGCAGGGAGCCCGACGCGGGGCTCAATCCTGGGGCCCTGGGATCATTACCTGAGCCAAAGGCAGATGCTCAATGACTGAGCCACCCAGGCGCCCCTTATTGTACCCTTTAAAATGATAGGAGAAAAAAATTATTTATGCCTTTTAAGAAATGAATTACCTTACTATTCCCTATTCCATGAATATTTGATTGATATCAGCTCCATGCTTTAATTCAGTGAAGTTTGTCATCATATTGTAGACTTACTTTCACAACAATCTGTTGAATAAAAAAACTAATCTCAGAATAAAATCACTCAAGATTAATACATATTTTTTTCTGGAACTTTCACTGTGATAATACAGAATTTTTATAGCAAAGAATAATATCACTTGAGAAATGGTTGAAGTTATACCTCATGTATTTCTTTTTTATTGTAAACATTGACATAGAACTTTGAAATGCTTTGTCATTAAAATGTTAGTTTAATGTGTTTAAATTTATTTTACTTAGCTGAATGCAATATCCATACATCTCCTTCTCCGGGAATTCAAGTAAGACATGTCTACACTCCCTCTACAACAAAGCACTTCTCACCCATAAAACAGTCAACTACTTTGACCAACAAACACAGAGGAAATGAGGTCTCAACCACACCTCTATTAGCAAATTGTAAGTATATCCCACTGATTTATTGAAATATTCTTATTAGTAATATAATGCTTTCAAGAATTTGGCTTTGAAATGCATATTCTATTTTGGAAAGCTTAAGTGATATCTTGATAGTTTTAGTAATTTAAAATTTTTTTCACACTATTACTGCATAATCAAATATTTCATGTTTTGTTAAGAACAAATACAGATTTTTTTAAAAAGATTTTACTTGGGGCGCCTGGGTGGCTCAGTCGTTAAGCGTCTGCCTTCGGCTCAGGTCATGATCCGTGGGTTCTGGGATCAAGCCCCACATCAGGCTCCCTGCTCTGCGGGAGGCCTGCTTCTCCCTCTACCACTCCCCCTGCTTGTGTTCCCTCTCTCGCAGTGTCTCTCTCTGTCAAATAAATAAGTAAAATCTTTAAAAAAAAAAAAAAAGATTTTACTTATTTATGAGAGAGAGAGAGCGCACAAGTAGGGGGAGCGGGAGAGGGAGAAGCAGACTCTCCACTGAACAGGGAGCCCAATGCGGAACTTGATCCCAGGACCCCGCCATCATGACCTGAGCTGAAGACAGACGCTTAACTGACTGAGCCACCCAGGCGCCCCAAGAACAAATACAGATTTTAATACAGACTTTATATAGATTTATACAAGTACAGGTTTATATTTGCTTATACATATACAGATTTTATACAAGTTTTCTTTTTTTTTTTTTAAGGGAGAGAGGTAGGGAGGGGAGATGCAGAGGGAGAGGGAGAGAGGGAATCTTAAGCAGGTTCCATGCGCAGCACAGAGCTGTCACAGGGCTCCATCTCAGGACCCTGAGATCATGACCTGAGCCAAAATCAAGAGTTGGACACTTAAGAGTCTGAGCCACCCAGGCGCCCCTACAGGTTTTCATTCTTAAAACCTTTATAGTCTTACTATAACAATTTATCATTCTGAACTTTGTGCAAACTAAGACATTGTGAGTGTTTTTCTGTTCTTGGAGTACAAGGCTTTACATTTTACTCATAAATTAGATCAGTGATCAGCAAGTGATTTATAGTAAAACCTGAGTGATTTCTATTGTAATTTTGAATTTGACTATAATAATATGAATATGAAATTAACTCTCTTAAAACCTTGAATCCAGGGGCGCCTGGGTGGCTCAAATGATTAAGCATCTGCCTTCGGCTCAGGTCGAAGCAGGGAGCCTGCTTCTCCCTCTCCCACTCCCCCTGCTTGTGTTCCCTCTCTCACTGTCTCTCTCTCTCTCTCTCTAGCTCTGTCTCTTAAATGAATAAATAAAATCTTAAAAAAAAAACCACCTTGAATCCATAATTTTTTAAAAATGTAGAATCATTCTAGAAGAAATAAAATATTTCTACATAAATCAGAAAACATTCTAAATACTATAGATATGTTAATGAGAGAAAACAGGTAGCAGTTTGATATTAGGAACTATATTTGAGTATATAATGTAAATGCATCTATATTCTAAAGCATGGTAAAATATATGGTTTATTGGGAACACCATATCCATCCTGATTTTGAATCACATGCTGTAACAGTTAAGCCAGGAGGAGTCCATGACTCTTACTTCGTTATTAACCATTATTGTTCTACTTATTAAATTTACATGTGTTTCATAATTGCTTTCCTTTCTATTAAGGCCACTCAGTCATATCGCTGAAGTCGAGGATCAAGTGATACTAATTTTTAAGATGAACCCTCACAGAACAGTGCCTGTTTAGTTTTGTCTTAAAGATATTGTCCTAAAAAATAAATAAATGAACAAATTGATGGATGAATGAATAAATGAATAAATTAAATAAAGATGTTCTCTTAAAAATAGTCCAACCATATTATTTTTGAGCTGAAAAGAAACACCTAGAGATCATGCAGTTCATGACCCTCATGTTATAGACAAAAACGGTTAATCATTTATTCAAGGTCACACAGCTAACTAGCCACACCTAGGTCTGCATTCAAGAATTTACTCTCGAAGTCATTTTTCCATTTACTACCTCACTCCAAAAGTTAAGAAAAACCCATGGAGTCTTGAAATAATGATATTTGGGATTTCAGAGGATTTAATTAATAAAAAGACAAAAGGTGTGTCTTTATGTGTTTTAGACCCAACATCCTTTTAAGTTTGGATATTGAGTTAGCATTTTAAAAATTAAATACCTAAGCCATTTCTTTGATTGATAAGATCATTAGCAATTTGCATTGTTAATAGTTGATCATAACAGTTTGCATATTCATTGATAACAATACTTTACAGATGTCAGAATTGCCCTAAATGTATATTAAATCTCAGCTACAGAATGCCTACTTGTAATGTTAGGATATATTTTAAGTTAAAATTTTTTAAACAATAAAATGATAGTTTTTGTTTTAGAAAAGAGAATTGCTGCACAAATATGAATGGCATGATGAAAGTGTACCCTGCAGGTAGAAAAACATGAAGCTTTTTGTGGTATCATTTCAGCTTTATCTGTTCACCAGTTGGCTGCTCAGGGAGAGATGCTCTACCTAGCTACTCGGATTGAACAAGGTAATAGCCTGTTTTTTAAACTGTACTTAAAACATATTTAATCGGATTTATTAGATTTAATACAGGAAGGTGTAAAGACAAAAAAAAAAAATAGTTGCATAATCTCACCAGGCAGATAACTCTATAGGTAGTAAAGAAAATAAAATACTACAAAGTATAAAAGTTACAGCCTCCCTTACCACCCTAACCTTTTCCCCAAAAGCAAACATTATAAATTTCTTATGTTTTCAGGAAACTCTTTTAGAAAACATTTCTGTTTATTTTTGGAGTTATGTGTGGAAATATGTATTTGCCTTTCGCTATGTAAACAAGAGGGAGCACACTGCATTGTACTTTTTTCACTAATACTTTGGAGATATTTCCAAATGAGCACATAAAGATTTATTTCTTTTTTATTTTTTTAAAGATGTTCTTCATTTTGAGAGAGAAAGAGCACAAGCAGAGGGGAGGGTCAGAGGGAAAGGGAGAAGCAGACTCCCTGCTGAGCAGGGACCCCCCCCCCAGCCCCAAGGCAGGACTCGATCCCAGGACCCTGGGGTCATGACCTGAGCCGAAGGCAGATGCTTAACTGACTGAGCCACCCAGGCGCCCCCTATTTCATTCTTTTTAATAGGTCCCTAATTTTGCACTGTATTGCTGCATACATATATGCTATGTTTTTATTTTTTAACTAGTCCCCTTGGTGATGGTTGATTCCAGTTTCTCAGTATTAAATAACATTCTTGTTGGCATTCTTTTTAAGAATACACATAGGATAAGTTCCTACAAGTTTATTTGCTGGGTCAAAAAGTATATGGAGGGGCGCCTGGGTGGCTCAGTTGGTTAAGCGACTGCCTTCGGCTCAGGTCATGATCCTGGAGTCACTGGATCGAGTCCCGCATCGGGCTCCCTGCTCGGCAGGGAGTCTGCTTCATCCTCTGACCCTATCCCCTCTCATGTGTTCTCTCTTTCTCATTCTCTCTCTCTCAAATAAATAAATAAAATCTTAAAAAAAAAAAAAAGTATATGGATTTTTCACTTTTCTATATATTGCCAGGTATTTGTCCTGTCCTCACACCAAAGTTAGAGTTTGTATTTCCCCATACCCTCAGTGACACAAGATATCAGATTTTAATCTTTGCTAATCTCATGGGTGAAAAATGGTATCTCCTACTGGGTGTGTTTAGGTTTTTTAAATTATGGTCTATTTAAGCTCTTTTGTATGTGAACTGCCTGATACATACTGATTTATATGTCCTCATCTAAATTAAAGAAATTTACTTTTTGTTGTTTATGTTGCATATTTTTTTTTCCAGTTTGTCATTTTCCTTTGATTCTCATGTTTTCAACAAAAGTTTAACATTTTGTAATGGTAAATTTATTTTTTTCCTTGTAACTTCTGAGTTTTATATCCTTCGAAAGGATTTTCTACTTCAAGATTATAAATAATGGAGGAGCACCTTTGCTTATTTTTTTTTCCAGATGCAACCACATCTTTATTTACAATCTTGTGTTCATTTTCCCTGTAGACACACTCCTGCAAACACCAAACTCTTCTGCTTGTTGTCCCTTTCCTATCACTCTATCTTCCTCCCTAATCTTTTTATTTTATTATGTTAATCACCATACATTACATCATTAGTTTTTGATGTAGTGTTCCATGATTCATTGTGTGCGTATAACACCCAGTGCTCCATGCAGAACGTGCCCTCTTTAATACCCATCACCAGGCTAACCCATTCCCCACCCCCCTCCCCTCTAGAACCCTCAGTTTGTTTCTCAGAGTCCATAGTCTCTCATGGTTCGTCTCCCCCACCAATTTCCCCCCTTCATTTCTCCCTTCCTACTATCTTCTTTTTTTTTTTTTTTTTTAACATATAATGTATTATTTGTTTCAGAGGTACAGGTCTGTGATTCATCAGTCTTACACAATTCACAGCACTCACCATAGCACATACCCTCCCCAATGTCCATTACCCAGCCACCCCATTCCTCCCACCACCCCCACTCCAGCAACCCTCAGTTTGTTTCCTGAGATTAAGAATTCCTCATATCAGTGAGATCATATGATACATGTCTTTCTCTGATTGACTTATTTCACTCAGCATAATACCCTCCAGTTCCATCCACGTCTTTGCAAATGGCAAGATTTCATTCCTTTGGATGGCTGCATAATATTCCGTTGTGTATATATACCACATCTTCTTTATCCATTCATCTGTCGATGGACATCTTGGCTCTTTCCATAGTTTGACTGTTGTACACCTTTACTTATTAATTAATTAACTTAGCTAATTAAACACGTGGGAGAAAAAGTTAATGGTACAAACTCACATAATAGGACTTCAGCAAGTAAGTCAACAGGAAGTGAGTCTCACTGAGTGGTATAATCCACCTTTTAGAATGCCAGTATTTTCATAATGATATTAATAGATGGTTGTTAAATTAGATGACAAAAATTGTTTTTCTTTTAAATAGAAAATGTTATCAATCACACAGATGAAGAAGGATTTACTCCTCTGATGTGGGCTGCAGCACACGGGCAAATAGCTGTGGTAGAGTTTCTACTTCAGAATGTAAGGAAAATGCTTCGGGAAATGTATACGTATAGTTACTTAAGTCTTGAGTAAAGATTTTCTATCTCCAGCCAACTAGATGTAATGGTAGAGGATCCAAAAAAATTTTGCACGCTTTTCATATTCTTGGGGAACTTGGATCTAGTTGGGCAAATAAGACTAAGCATACATGAAACAGCGAGAGAGAATTTCATGCCCAGCTCCCTCAGAGTGCAATGAGAACAAAAGTATGGTCAGCGCTGTAGGAGAAGCTTCACGGGGGAAGTGTAACTTAAGAGTGAAAGGATAGTTAGCATTTGAGATAGAGGGAGGAAGGAAGGCCCTCCAGACAACCCTGATAATAAAGGCATCCATGAGTAGAAGTTTACGTTATTAACCCCAGAACATTACTTGACCTAAGTACTGAACTGTAATTCTTATTGACAGAAATAACAATATTCTTGTTTACATGAATTGAAAAGTCTGTTATCTCCACTTGCCACTGCAGGGTGCTGATCCCCAGCTTTTAGGAAAAGGTCGAGAAAGTGCACTCTCATTGGCCTGTAGTAAAGGCTACACAGATATTGTCAAAATGCTGCTTGATTGTGGAGTTGATGTAAATGAGTATGATTGGGTGAGTCTATGATACTGATTTTTAAAATACTGTAATAAATTCTAGGAATTATTTAGTTTGGAGAGACAATAAATTTTACTAAACATCTGGAAAAATAATTAGCTAGTTAAACACACGGAAGAAAAAGTTAATGGTACAAACTCAGTTATTACTTCTGATTTAAATATTCTTCACAAAATATGAAAATTGCCTTAAACGACTTTTACATACCCAGTTCTTAGTAAAACGTCTCACACAAACATTATTCAACTCTTGCTCACCTTGAAAAACTAAAACCTTTTCCTTTTGCAGAATGGAGGGACACCTTTGCTTTATGCTGTACATGGAAATCATGTTAAATGTGTAAAAATGCTCTTAGGTAAGCCAAAAAAAGTGAAAATATTTGGAAAATACCATATGAGGACTTTATTTTAATTCCTTACAAGCTGGCCTCCCCTGGTATTACTCAGGAGAATCATTACCTATTACTAAATACCTTAATCCTGCAAAGCACCTGCTACCACAGAGTTGCCCATGTGATAAGCAGCTCCGTCCCGTAGTACACCTGTGCTTGGAACATTTGTCCCTGTTGCTTTCCTCTTGAAGATTGTGTCTGAATCCGTCATTGTTTTCTCTGTCCACGGTGTCTTTGTGCATAAGTTTTGTCTATAGTTGTTTATGAGTTTCAGCTGTTATCGAGGACTCCTCTTTGAGGCATCCTCCCGCTGACCCACCAAAGTGAACTCTGTGCACTTCGTGTGCTCTGTACTTTGTTAGGCCATCCTGCAAATATCCAATTTGCTGAAAATCTGTCCTGCCGTTTGCACATGAGCCAGTCACAGACAAACGTATCTACATTTTCATTTTATTTATGCAGATTTTTCTGTTTTGGTACAGAAAATGGAGCTGACCCAACCATTGAAACAGACTCTGGGTATAATTCTATGGATTTAGCGGTAGCCTTGGGCTATAGAAGTGGTAAGTATTTTAGAACTGTCAGGTTTTATTTTAGTTGGTAAAGCTCTGTAAACAGTACAGACTAGCGGACTAAACCGTTTTCATCACTTGTAGTCATAAAATATGGCATGTTATCCTAACTAGTGACAGTAACTTTTAACTGTGGGCAAAATCAACAAATTCTTACAAAGTCTGGAAATGAGTTTGTTACTATTACTTTTCACCAACCCAAATAATTTGTTGCTAGAGTGCACACCTATTTACATACAAGACTTGTTTAACATTTTTGTAGCAAATTATAAAAGTTGCCCTTTCTCTGTTCTTTAGAACACACCTTGAACGACAACAGAATCCAGTAACTTGGACAATCACTAAGTCAGTGACAGACTAAATTTAAGTGCACTAAGTATTGCATTGCAATCTTACCATCCTCAGACAATGAATATATATTATTGGGCATATATCCTCAGAATAGGAGGAATACCTTTATTTTAAGGAGAAGTTGATGTTAAATTGAATTTGATAGTTCTGTGTAAAATTCTGTGATCAACATGCGGTGGTCTTGATAACCTGTCTGTTTCAGTTCAACAGGTCATTGAATCACATTTACTGAAGCTGCTTCAGAATATCAAGGAGTAGACATAGTCGTCAGGAAGTGTTGTCTGCCCTTCCATTTACTTTTCGGCTCTTATAAATGATAGTTTTGTTTACTTAAATATTTTTACCTCAGTTGCAAAATTTACTGGTTTTAGTAAGTTTTAATATTCCTCTGAGTAATTCACTGGTTTATAATAAAATTAATGTTGATGCTTTTTTATAAATGTGTTTTACTGCATATTTAAAATTATAAATTAATGTTTTGTGGCATGTAAATTTTTATGGTACAGATAGTTATCTGTCTTTGTATCAAGTGCTGTAATTTAACATTTTCAAAAATTGTTCTACCCTGTTCGTCTTCACTCTTGTATTAACTCATTGACTTCACACAGGTTTGCTATAAATCTAAAGGAAAAAAATTTGTTATTGTTGAATTTAAAAATGCACAGTGTGATTGTTTACAAAATGATGTTATAAATAAATAAAGTACTTTTGCTGTTAGTTTGCATGGTAGTTTTTTAAAAAATTTATATGATTATTAATGGATTATTTTAGGATTTTTAGTTTAGCCTTCTGTCCTGCCAGGACACTCCGTTAGATCAAACAATATAATTGGAATAAATTGAATGTAAGTCAATCAACAAAGACTTAATTATCATTTTTAGAAGTATATTTAGAATATTTTTCTCTTGTAAATAAGTTTTTCAGTAGGAAACATTAGTCCTTCAATAAAAGTCAGATGTTCTTTAATTCCACAAAAGGAGCACCATAAACACTTGTGTTCGTATTACAAGGTAACAAAATCCAACGATCCATTTGGGCACATCAGTGTGAGTATTGCTTACCTGTGCTCTCCACAACTGAAGAGCAACTCAATGACTTAATGCTGGAATGGAGTCTAAAATAACCACCTAACTCCTACTCTGATTCTTAGATCAACAGATCTCAGAGAATATCTTAAAGAAAATTCCCCTTTCCAATTCTGTCATCTTTTAGCCTCAGGAACCCTGGTAACATTCCTCAGAAAAGTCCCTTAAGAAGTAGACACAAGTTAATTGGAACAATAGGAATGATCCTTAAGGAGCAGTTATAAAATTCCTCTCTTAAAAATCAAATATCTTGCGTGCCTGGGTGGCTCAGTCGTTAAGCATCTGCCTTCGGCTCAGGTCATGGTCCCAGGGTCCTGGGATCGAGCCCCACATTGGGCTCCCTGCTCAGCAGGGATCCTGCTTCTCCCTCTCCCACTCCCCCTGCTTGTGTTCCCTCTCTAGCTGTGTCTCTCTCTGTTGAATAAAATCTTAAAAAAAAAAAAAAATCAAATACCTTTGGGGCGCCTGAGTGGCTCAGTCAGTTAAGTGTCCAACTGTTGGTTTCGGCTCAGGCCATGATCTCGGGTCATGGGTTCAAGCCCGAAGGGGGGTTCTGTGCTGAGCACAGAGTCGGCTTCAGATTCTCTCTCCCTCTCCCTCCCCCTCTCCCTCCCCCTGTGCTCCTCCCACCTTCTGCTCCTCTCCCTCTCTGCTCTTCCCCTCCCCTGCTCCCTCCTGTGGGCTCTCTCTCTAAAATAAATAAAATATCTAAAAAAAAAAAAAAAAGTTTACCACCTCTCTCTTTGTAGTGGATACTATTGATAAAATGCAAAATGGTAACAATAACTTTTAACATTTTTTTAATGCTTAGAAATTTTTAGGGGCACCTGGGTGGCTCAGTCAGTTAAGTGTCTGCCTTCAGCTCAGGTCATGATCCCAGGGTCCTGAGATCAAGCCCCACATCAGGCTCCCTGCTAAGCAGGGAGTCTGCTTCTCCCTCTCTCTCTCTCCCTCTGCCCCTTCCCCCGCTCATGTGCTCTCACTCTCAAAATAAAATCTTAAAAAAAATTTTTTTAATAATATATGTATATTGGTTTTAAAATAAAGGATAAAAAGATAATAAAAGATAACACCGAAGATATAAGAAAGGACCATAACATGATTGAAGCCTTTTAGACATGCATTTCGACAGAAAATACAATAATTTATTTATTTATTTATTTATTAAGATTTTATTTATTTATTTGACAGAGAGAGACACAGCGAGAGCAGGAACACAAGCAGGGGGAGTGGGAGAGGGAGAAGCAGGCTTCCTGCCGAGCAGGAAGCCCGATGTGGGACTCGATCCCAGGACCCTGGGATCATGACCTGAGCCGAAGGCAGATGCTTAACGACTGAGCCACCCAGGCGCCCTACAATCATTTATTAAAAGGCAATACAATCATTCTCTTTGTGCAACACAAAGAGAACTGTGTAAATATTCTTAGGTTCAAATAAACTTCAAAGAATTATTTTGTTTTTTGTATAGGTTTTCCTCTTAAGACAAGTAAAGCCTTTTGGAGTGAGACAGAATCCCCAGTACCTAGGCATTTAAAAAACTGTTATGTTTATCTTTTCTGAATAAGATAGCCTATGTGATGCTGGCTGTGTGCACAGGAACAAAATTCACCTGCAGGACCGTGTCAGTGACTCAGGTCAGGAAACTTGATTATTGGTGATTTTAAGCTCTATGGAATTGAAATTACAATTGGATACACAATTATTACATTCACAATAGACTGCCCCAGACTCACTGCTTGCTGAGTTCTCCACGTGAAAAGAAGTGTAGATCACTTTATGATCCCTTTGCCCCATGTTTTATTTTTTTATTTGTAAATTCAGTGAAATTTGCTCTCCATTCAGACATATATTTTCAATGATTTTATTTATTTATTTGACAGAGAGGGAGTACGCACAAGCAGGGTGGGCGGCAGAAGGAGAGGGAGAAGCAGGCTCCCCGCTGAGCAGGGAGCCCAACTCGGGGCTCCATCCCAGGACCCTGGGATCATGACCTGAGCTGAAGGCAGACTCAACTGACTGAACCACCCAGGCACCCCTCCATTCAGAAATATTTACTCATGTTACTTTATGGGCCTGGAAACCATCTTAAAATTTTAGATGTTTCCATTATGTTCCCTATTCACATCCACTGAGCATAGTCAGACATATTACATATCTCAGAATCAATTCATGGAAAGTGTCATAAATTCCTTGCTGGTGCTCAGTTAGTCTTCTGTTCACTGTCTCTTCTCCAAAAGATTAAATATTTGAAATAAGAAATTTCCCCTAACAGTCATTCAATCACACACATTTCAACACACATTTATTGAGCCCATACTCTATGCTAGATTTGGGCTGGACCCAGGGGGTGCAGTGGAGGATACCCACAGGGACCTGATTCCGTGCCCTGCCCTACAGACCTCATATAGAATCTGCCTCCCAGCAAGTTTGGTTTTGTTCAGAATTATCTCCAGTTGTCCCATACATCCTGAGGACAAGTTAAAAATGTCATGTATTAACTGAGGCATGTTCAAGGCTCTAAAATGCCTATTACTGGGGTTATCATATGCTGATTGTTCTGCTGTGTCCCAACTTTAGTCCTCCTTGACTAATTGACACAACAGAAACCTCTATGTCCTGAGAGGAAAGAGAGGGAGAGGATCTGAGGGTCATGGAGGTTCCCCTCAAAGGGCAATTAATTAGTTCTCAAGCTGGGATGCACAATGGGATCATCTGGAGGGCGTTAGAAAATGCTGAAGCTAGAGTCTCACCCCCAGAAAATCTGATTTATTAGTCCGGGATGCCAAATGGGGATGGGCAATAGCTTCCTGGGTGATTCTAATGCATAGCCAAGGCTGACAACCATTGCTGTAGCTGATGGGACCAGTGTATTCCAAACCACATTCTAGCATTTGCCTTTCACATTGCCGTCCTGTCCACAGAATAACGTAATGAAAGAACCTGGCTTATCCTTTCTCTCTGGCCTGTTGGTACCTGCTATGGTTCTTTTGTAAAGGTAAACACATTCCCCTTTAAGTCTCTGTGACAAAGAATTTCAAAACACTAATCTTACCTTTTGTGAATAATTCACCTTTCATCATTCAATGAGCTGTTAGTTGTGACTGAACATCCTTTATTAACCTGTGTTTCTGAAAGACAGAGCCCACTTCTGATGCCATACAATTGTTTACTTATTTTGCTTACCTTTCAGATAAAAAGGAGCCCTGAACATCCAGGAGAGTAGTTCATACCAACAAATGCCAAACAGCTTGTCTTGTTATTCCTTTGTTCTAGGATTTCCTTTGGAACACAGGCATTGACTGAGCATGGGCCCCCCAGAACTGATGCTAGCTTACTGGGTTCATCCACAAAGCCAGGTAACCCCCCTCCTCCATGACTGTCTGTTACGAAAATTTTTCTCTCCTCTGAATTGGCTGCCCTGATGAAGAGCCCATTTGAGCCAGAGTTTGGCCTTACTGCTTTCTTCACAGATAAACCACTCTCTTTGTGCCATTCTAGAGTCTTCTTTAAATATTTATTTATTTATTTATTTATTTATTTATTTATTTGAGAGAGATCATAGAGGGAGAGGGAGAAGCACACTCCCCGCGGAGCAGGGAGCCCGATGCAGGGCTCGATCCCAGGACCCTGGGGTCATGACCCGAGCCGAAGGCAGACGCTTAACCGACTGAGCCACCCAGGCGCCCCTAGATTCGTCTTAAAAGATAATGTTGCCTTCCCTGTATTGATGAGATGTTACAGGGCCCTCCCCAAGAAAGCACTGTGTACTGTGTGGTCAGCTTTCACATCGCCTTCTCCTGGGGGAGAAAATCAGATATATCCACCACTGTTGTCTCATGAGAAAGAGCACAGCACAGATGTCAAGGTTTGTATCAGGTGCTGAGTCATGGCCACTGCACCTTGGTGGTCTCGTCAGGGAGAGAATGCGGTACAAATGAACTAAGCTCGAAGCAATGTGAGGTAATAGATAACAAAAGTTGATGGCAAATAGTTAATTTGGGAAAGAAAATTATTTCTGTGGCTTCAGGAAGCCAAAATCAGAATCCTCAGTACCTAGGCATTTAAAAAACTGTTACGTTTATCTTTTCTGAATATAAAAGTAATGTATACTTCTTGTATCTGTTAGTATGCTTTCAGCTATAAAATAAAACCCACTTGAGCTTAAACAAAGAAGTAAATGTATTTGCTTACATAGGAGGAAATCCAGAGTTCAGGGGACTTCAAGGTTGGTTGATGTAGCAGATCAATGTCAAGTAAGACTTGGTTACTTCAGTTTGCATTCTGCTGGGAACAGTTCAGTACCATCTTAAGTCCACTTTCCCTCGGGGCCACGGTGTGGTTACTAATAAAACAGGGGCCACGTGTTTCTCCATTTCTGTCTAGAGCTGCTCCTCTAGTCTCATTTACTACATTGGGGTACATGCTCATTCCTGAACCAGTTACAGAGACTAAGACTAACCTAGCATCTACCAGTCATACCCAGTCAACTGAGGGCCAGCAACTTCTGTGGTGCTTGGGCCTAGTGGGGAGAAACACCAGCATTCTGTGAAGAAGGGGAAAAAAGGGAACAAGTATAACACATATGAAATTCACTTTGGAGAGTCCTGACCAGGAACCTTAAGTCGGTAAGCA